TTACCGTTTACCAAATTACCATCGACGTCGTCATTGCCGTTCGACACTTTGTTATCATTATTACTATCTCCAGAATTGTTAATAATTAATGGAACGGGAGTTGGTCTGTTATTCGCGACGTTACCGGAATTAGAATTATCGCCATTCTTGTTTCCGTTTACTATGTTACCATCAGCGTCATCGTCGCCATTTGAGACGCTATTGTTACTATTGTCATTTCCAGAATTGTTGATAATTAACGGAGACGCACTTGGTCCTCCGTTTGCAACATTGCCGGAATCGGAGTTATCTCCGTTATCGTTTCCGTTTACCAAATTACCGTCAACGTCATCATTACCGTTCGATACTTCGTTATCATTATTACTATCTCCAGAATTGTTAATGATTAAAGGAGAAAGTTGTTTTGTCGGACATCTGGTTGTACCATTTAAACAACGTGCATTTGTACTGCAATCTTTTATCGTCTCGTTGTATCCTTCATTGCACGCGCACGACATCTCCACCGGCTCGTATGATGTTTGCCAGGGTAATATTGATGTTTGGACACACCGATAATATTTTCCACAAGTCTCTTCACTGTCTAGATCATCCGGTGGTTGATTGCCGACTTGCGTGCAATGTCTTACGCATTTATCTTCAGTTAGATCGTATTTCTGATAATCCTTACATCGTCCTAGGATAACTGGCACGTTATCTGCACATATTGCGTAAAGGCGATTGTCTCGTGGATACACGACTATCTGACCCTCTCGACCGCGGCAGTCGAAGTTCACGCAATCGCTGATGCGACGACTGTATTTGCAGTTACCCGTTGCGTGATCGTAAACGTTGTGTATTGGACATTGGTTGACTGTCGCTACATGTTCTGCGCATCTAATGTAACGCGTGCAATCCGTCGGATCAGGTAGTACGCCATTAACCGGGCATGGTGGAGTACATCCCAATTTTGGATCCGGAGTCTAATAACAGTATCAAAATACGAGCGTGATAAAGATAGACACGCGATAGTAACAAAAACAATAATATAAAAACATAAAATAAATATCTTAAAGCAATAATAATACTTAGTAGGCGTTTTGTTATTTATGAAAAAACGTTAGATACTTATCTCTAAATGTTTAAAAATTCAAAACTTTGGCATAAATTTTTTATTATATAAAACTTCTATTTTTGTAAAATAAATTTACTTGTACATAATAGATACCTTTGAACATTTACCGCTATTACAATAGGGTGTGTCTTCGTCACAAATCAAGAGACCTATTTGAGTCTTTTTTTCTTCTCCAATGCATATTCTTCCTGATACACAATCAGTGCACTCACGTTCGGCTTTACATGTAACACTATCATTCCGACTTATAATAATCTTTGTACCCTTTGTACCGAAGAGATCCAAAAGTTGACTCAACGCTAGTTCGCAAAAGATAAGCGTCTAAAAGTGATAATATTATAATGTTATATTAATGCAATAATTTTAAGTATAAAACATAACAGAACGATATTTCTTATCAATATACATTTTTGATATTTGATGCTTTTGCGATGTGTTGTATTAATATTCGAAGATGTTTTTCGGGTTAAATATTAGTATCAGGCTGCTCTTGCAACCCTGATGAAGTGAGCTGAAATGTTCACAAAACGTCGGTATAAAAATGACACTAACGCGGTTCGAACCCAAAAAACATCTTTGAATGTTATAGATTGTTTATGCGCGTTTTTTCAAAGTTTTAATTTATTCAATTTATTCAATTCAAGACTTTTAGATAAGGATATATATATTAGATTTGATGCAATAAATTGAATTTGCGAAGAAGACACTTACCACGAAGAACGCTAACTGCATGTTGTGATGTCTACCCATTTCGATGGAGTATTCGCGCAATTTCGAGCTCTTTCCTCTTATATCTCCTTGATTTCTTAAAATTCTACTGATACATAGACAAGCAAAGACAAATACGTGACGTTGCCTCAGAATGTTTGTAAATGAAATTATTAGCTAGCAGTAAATCGACTTGATAACAATTTCTGGGAACTTCTTACATATCAGGAAGTGATATTGTGTGACTTTTTGTTATTGACATATTTATCGTAATTAAAGAAATTAAAGTTTTTATGACGTTTGATAGTAATCTCTCGTATGACAAATATTATATTACATATTAAAACAAAAAATATGCATAATATTGCTGTAAAAAAAAACATTTTATTCCGATAACAGGGATAACATGCAAAAATTATTGTTTGTAAACAACCTGTTTTAAATAACTGATGCAGTTTGCGCATCAATAGTATTTGTTTTACAAATATTACATCAGTCCGTGGGAGGCAAAATAACATTATCTAAACGCGCCGTTTCGTTGTTTTTCACCGTGTGGATTTACGATGAGTTACATCATGATATTACTGATCTTAAAGTCTTTTCTATGTCAAGAATGATAAAATCTACTGCAAATTGTGCGATAAACATCCGTCTTTCTCTGACGTACAGGTTTAGTGATTGATAAGTAATAACGATATGCACATGTTTCCGCGATTTAAAGTCAAACAAGATATCGTGACTCTTCATTAAAGAGTTATATTACGTACAAACATGTGACAAGCTTCTGCATCTTTGTTTTAGAGAGGAATATTACTAAACACGTAAATTATTATCTCTTATGAAAGAAAAAACCATTTAAGCAAACAAGCTCCAAAATAATAATGTTTTCGAATTTAAATATTTCTTTAACTGAGATATATTGCTGGCTTTCGCAGTGTTTCAAACTTTTAGGAGATTATGAAAAAGTATTAAATAAAATTACAGAAGTAATAATATATTATATACAATTTATTTGTTTTTTATGTACAATATATATATATTATATACAACATTTGTAATAATTATATAATTAAGATAAAGATATTCACACGTCTCTGTGGGAATTGCGCATCAAGCGCATCTTTTCTACATCTAAACTTCTGTACAGTTGCCGATCGGCTAAAATATTCCGCCCACGCTACGATAATTAAGCTGGGCGTAATCGTAGCTTTGATCGTACCAATCTGGCGTTGTCGCGGTGTTCGACGTGCCCGAGGACTGAGTATTCTGATTCGCGTGCGATCCGTGCTGATGACCACCGGTATGACCCGAACCGTAATCGCTGCACTGAAAGTGATTGAACTGTCCCCAACCAATCTGCGATCTCGACCAGTCGCTGTTACCTGACGAAAAAAAGCGATCTTTACGTTTATTAATCATTTATTTTTTAATTATCGATTGTTCATTAATTTAAATTAGAGATTTTGTAGATCATTAATCAGCAACTATTATTTGTTTATTTTAGGGATTTTTTTCTCTAGATTTTTTTTTATATTATCGAGTACTTACTGGCATTGTGCGAAAGCGACGTCGGCGCGCCGTGCGCGACCGGCGGCTGCATCGTCGACACCTGCGCGAGTTGCATAGACGCTGCCGCGTGCGCCGGCAGCGAGCCGAGATGACCGGGAATGGCAACCGCGTGTCCCTGCAGAGCGTTGCTCATCGTGGTGGACACCTGGGACATCGTAGTCGCCATTTGGGTGGAACCGGGTACTTGGTGCACGCTGCTGGGCGTCTGGTGCAGCGCCGTCGGGCTGTGATGCAACGTCGTAGGTACCTGCGGTATTCCGCCAGGCATCTGCGGTACCTGCGGTATCTGAGCGAGCTCGTGACCGGCCGCGGCGTATTGACACGGCGTCAGTGGCAAACTGGCTACCGAATGGGCAATGCTACCGGCGTGTTTACGAAGGCGCGCCCTGCGATTGCTGAACCACACCTGAAAACAATCCACGTTTGGCCATTTGAATGAACGAGATTGGCTTTGTGATAATCGCGAAAAAAATTCGTTGACACAATACTCCTATAGTTGTGCGTGTAACGGGAGGCGCGAAAGCAGTGCGTTATAATCTTCACATTTTTGTTAGGTTTTATTTTTTTATCATTTAAATAAAACGTTTCAAAATATTAACGTCACATAAAAAAACAATAAATAGTTTACAATATTTCAGATCTTTTTATAAAGCTGGGTTAAAACCGAAATTTAAAACACGTGACACCTTCTGGTGACATTGACAGAAGCGGCGTGAAGATTCTGTTCAAATTAATATTGTTACAATGGACGCGGTGCACTGTATGGTAATGCCGGCTATTAACGTCACGCGGAACTCACTTGGATTCTCGCTTCTGTCAGCCCAGTCCTCTGGGCCAGTTCCTCCCTGGCATAAACGTCTGGGTATTGAGCTCGTTGGAACGCAGCTTCCAGCTGCTCGAGCTGCTCGCCGGTGAACGTCGTTCTGCTTCTGCGTTGCTTTCGCTTCAGTGGAATGCCCGGCTCGCTTTCCGTATCGGAGTCGTCACCGCAGCGACCTGAGGGCCACAAAAATGCGAATCGTGTTTGTTACATTCGAGAAATTCGAGAACCAACTAATACGCGCTTCCACTTACGTGATCGCAAGGATTACTCGATTAACTTGTCTGTAGAAAGACTGTCATATTGATTTACGGGAAGAATTCGATTATAATTTGAGGAAGACACAAATATTCTTAAATAACATTTAACATTTTCTATGTGTTAACATTTTCTTGCAATTATTTATTACAGACGTACCAGCGTGTTTAAAAAATTGTATTATATAAATATAGCACGTATGTATTTTTGGTACATTGGATCGCAATTTATTCTAAGTTTCAGATGCAAATTTAGGCACAAGAACTCACGGAGTCGTGGCGAATCGATAGAATTCTTAAAACTATACAGAGATTGTGCGAGCGGCACATGTTTCTTAATTTTTTTCCTATTTACTAGCACAACACAGGCGCGCGCTACGCGCACGCTATTATTTCTTTTATTTTAACGTGTTTAATTTTTTTAACACATATCTATATATATACCATAATCACGTGACTAAAGTCAGTGACCTCGCCGCGGTCGCGCGGCCGAGGTCAGTGACCCTCCCCACCACGGTCGCGCGGCCGAGGTCAGTGACCCCGCCAAGGCCGCGCGGCCGAGGTC